CGTTTAAACATTTTTGATTTCCACTTTGATTGAACGATATGTGCACAATAATGTTTTTCGTTTTATTGGTTTTCAAATGAAAACTCTCTATATACAGGATCGTTCAAGCGAAATTTTCCACTGCCAATGATGAGACTCGCTTATTTACATGATGTGAATATGTTCATTGTTCATCGACAATTTGACTAAGTGAATTCAACCAATGATTTTTTTTTTACTAATTTAAATCGCTATCAAGTCTTTGAATCTGAGATGATAGAAAAACAAACAAACAGAACCGAAGCAAGTGAATCATTGCTGCGAAATTTAATGCGAAAATATATCGTAGATTTTGAATGGGTTGATGAATTATTATGAGATAAACGATGATGTTATTAAAAGTAGAATAGTTCCACGCTGAATACGGAAACATAATGTAATGGCATGAAACGGAAACATTTTAATTGATTTAAATAATCAAAGAGATGCTAAAATTCGAAGCAACGTAAAGGTATACATTTTGTTAAATCGGGTGTGTTATACATTTTATTTTATATTCTTCGTCTTCGCCTTCAAGCCTTCAAATACCGTTGGGGTTAGATGCAAATATATACGCACATTCATTGATGAGCGCACAAAATAAATCGGCATAGAGGGAACAAAATTGACAAAAATGCCGATTAAATTTTATGGTTGTATCTTTCAGTCAGCCACTTAAGAAGTAAAAGAGGTGACAATTTCATCAACAATCAATGTAATCAAACAGTACACACGCAAACCGTTTTTTTCTGTTTTTTTTTCTTCATTCCTTTTCTTCGTTTTGTATTTTCCATATTACACTCAATGCGACAGTCTCGTGTACATTTATTGTCTCTCCGAAAACAATTTAGTTTGTCACACTCTTCATATCATTTCGTCGTTACTTCGTGCACTCTAATTTGTTCTCTGTGTCGCTTTTTTTTCTCCACATGCTCGTTTTTATTTTCGGATCCGTTGGCTTCTTTGTTCAACATCATTTTCCATTTCTTCATTTTGTTGAATTCGTCAAATTCGTATGGTTTTGTGTGGTGTGCGTTTTATTACATATATCTACTGCTGCTTGTGCTGTCCCGAACGTACATTTTTAGTACAGCCAACTTCAATGTTATGTGTGACAGATGGTCACATATTAATCTGTATAAATTTATATTCCATTCGATTGAACAACAGAACGTCTGCCTGTATGAGTACAATAATCCAATCTCTCTGCCTCTCTCTCTCTCTCTCTCTCTATCTCTCGCCCGGTCGAAAATCAAAAGGAAAACACTATATACCATTCTTCAAAAAGAGGAGTCAACATAAAAAGAGATTGTGAATGTTTAGTGACGATACCAATTCTAATCATATCAATGTGGGTTTTGAATTAAATGATTTAACTAGATCATTGTAACAGTAAAAATCAATTGCAGTTCATGTACGTCTGCAAAAAAATAGCAGTAGTTTTCTATTTTGTCGGCTGTTATTTTGCTGGAATGTTTTTAATTTTGACCTCTCGAACCCCAAATGGATTGAAACTCAAACCGAATGTGTCATTGTTGTTCGCCGTGTATTATTTGGTTAACGCGCCATGATATTGTTGAGAAAAATAACATAAGCACTAAATAAAGAGCAGAATAGATAAACGGTTTTTTCGGTAGGTAGTTTGGGTATGAGCCCGCGTGCGCGCCACCGCGCACCAAACATTATAGTTCATTGTAATTGAGATGAGAGTGTTTTCAACAATACCAAAACAAGACGAGGGAGAGAGATTCACGGCTGACTGATGTATACACAAAGAGTATAACTATTAAATTGAAATCATAAAAACCGGCAAACGATGGTGGCGGTGGCGGCAGCAGCAACATTTGTAATTTAATGCGCATAATAATCATTTTCTTATTTCTCTCGTTTTTATTTTATTTTTCAATATTTTTCCTTTGTCATCATTGTGTGCAATGTGAGCGTGATATCTTCCTCCCTCATACACACAAACACATGCCTTCCACACTGACTATATATAGACGTTTCGCACAAATCGATTCAAATCTTCGTTTTTATGATTCACACCCAGGCCAATATGCTATTGAAGAGAATGCGACAAATGGGTAACAAAACTGTTTATGAAAATAATCTCTTCGTGTTTTTTTTGCTCTCTCTTCTTTTCATTTTCGTTATTAAATGTTTGCCGATGCGTTTGGCGCGTGAAACGTCATCTCATTTGATCCATAAATATGTGATAATATAATTTTTGACATGGATTTGCATGCAAACACTATTAATAAAAACGAGAGTGACTCGTGTCATTTTCCCACATTCAATCATTTCGTTCAATCTTGAACACGATATATGTTCGTTTGATTTACAATACAATAAGTATTTATTTACTAAGCACGCATACTTTTAACGTATATCAAAATGAATACATCGATTATTTGTTTTTTCTTTTGAAAAGATAAACGCATTGAATTTAAAGATATGAGCGTGTAGGTTACAATGAAAAACAAAATCAATTTTTGTTTATAATCGCAAATCAATTTTTCATTCATTTAAACAGGCAATCCATTTTCATGAATCGCATGAGTGGCTGCGCGAATAATCTGTGCGTGTGTTATAATAAACACACGAAACAAAAAAATTGGATCAAGTCCACGACAAATGTGTGAATACAAAGTATAAAATTAGTGGGAACATGCAATTTAATGCGAAAAATATATGCGAGAGAAACAGCGAAAATGAAGGAGAAAAAAAAACTTTGCAACAACATGCTGTGTACGGATCGTAAATTTTCATTGCATGTATTCACACAATAAATGTCTTGAGGGTAGAAAAGGAAAGCAAATGGGAAACAAACATCGCCAACCAGATAGACAGAGAAAAATAAAGAGAACAAAGTTGACGATGACGACGAACAACGTTTTGGATGTATCTTTTTAATAAAAGAGTATGAAGTGCGCTTGAAGAGCGCGCTACCAGATTATTTTTTTTTTTTTTTGCTTAGGGTACAATTTGATATTCGTTTTAGTTTTGTTGTTCTGTTCTTTTTGATGAGCGATAAAAAAAAGCGAGAAGACGATGAAAACAGTGAAGCGATACTTGTAAAATGTTTACTCTTTCTTTTTCAGTTGTGTGTGCATCCGAAGCATGCACAAGCCACAAACACCAGAGCAATTGTATAACGCACAACCAGATTTTGTTTGCATATGGCTAAGATTTAACATTATCTCTCTCTTTTTATCTGTGTGTCTCTAATATTTCGGTTGTGCACACACTGTACCTATATATAGCATTTTGTATTGGCAAAATATGTACAACAAAACAGCGACCCAAAGCAAACACAAATGGTTGTTGCGTTATTTCCTTGATTGTCTCATAGCGTGTGAATTTTGGATAAGGACCACTTGTTTCATAAAAGTCAAACCTCATTTGAATGAGAAGCAATTTTCGTTCGGTGTTGCATTAATTTTCGTTACCTTCAGTTTCGATTGTGTTTAACGTTCAATTTGTGTGTGTGTGTGTGTGTGTGTGTGTGTTTAAAACAAAGAAGAATAATAAAAAAGGCTGACAATGATGATTATGGTGTATGAGAGAAAAAAAAGAGTCAACAGAAAAGAATAAAATTCTTGTTGAGACCGGTGCCAATTCAGCATATTTTTCACCATTTTTCGAATGTATTTTTTTTTCGTTTGGCATTACGACTATTGGGCACTGATCAAATTTCGCAAACATTCAGTTCGGCACTCAGGTTAACGCAACAACAATTTTTGAAATGTCATGAAAGAATTCGGCTCATAGAGCGCAGATGAGCAACGGCAACAATACAGTAGCAAGCGATTTACGTAAATATGGCACATGCACACATCCTCATTATTTGGTTAAGTGGTGAGCATGAATATAACCAAGTGACAAAAACAAACTCATAAAATATCGCATGAGAAAAGATAATGTTATGCCACACGCACAAGCACACGCGCATTATATCCCATATATTCATGTATATTCACATAAAACGTTATTTAGCTGGCTGACTGGTTGGATGAATTGCTTATATCGCATTCGATGCTACCACCGAATGCACGGCATTGTCACATTTTATCAAACGCTCTTTGGGTGCAATAACAAATCGTATGATATATTCACTACGTTGAAGAATATACCTAACTCTCTGTTATTCTCCCTCTACCTCTCATTCGCATGTTCTCACATATGTTGTATATCTGTGCATCTGCACATATACACAATTAAATCTCGCTCTCGTTCTCTACCATTTGAAATAAACCAAAACTGCTTCATATGCGCTGTAGACCGATATATATATTCTCTCTCTCTCTCTCTCTCTCTGGGTGTGTGTGTGTGTATGTGTCATTTTTCTCTTCCTTCACACAAATAGTGAACCCTTTTTCGACAACTCATGCGAAACAACGAAAATGCTACACACAACATATTTTGGTATTCTATGTACAATTGTACATTGTTGTACAATGTAAAATATATTTCGGTCTTCAGAATTATGCAAATGGATTGGGGTTTAGAGAATCGGATGTGATGTTTTTGTTAGTAGTGTTGCAATTATTGGCCTTTGTACAGCTGAATTGGACATTCCGTCGATTTTACCATGTTATATCAATTTTCAAAAGCTAAATTTGCCTTCATATCTCAATTGATATCTCAAACACTATGAGGTATTCTTTTTCTATCTTTTGATTCTTCAATTAGCTTTTACGGTATTGTTCATACTGTGTTGAAAATAAATGATTCATTATCTAATGGATAAAAAATGTCAGGAGGTATTTTTTTGTTCTCTTTCAGTTTTATTCTTGTTCTTTATCAAAGGAAGAAAAACTATTTGATACAATCAATTGAATATCAATGAATTCAACTAGATGAATGAAAACAAAACACATTGTATATACAAGTGGCTAAATGGTATTCTTACGTTTGTTAAAAAAGAACTTAAATTTGATTGCAATAAATAAAAAATAAATGCAAAAAAAATTGTCACTTACCACGCGTCTAGTGATACCACATATGTAGTTCATCGTTCACCTGAAATTATGACGAAACAAACATGCTCATTAGCGTCAGTTTCTAAATATGAGGTACTAATCTAATCAGTATGTTCTATTTCCAAAGAGCTCAAACAGTCATTTTCGATTTCGTTTTGGCACCAACAACAACTGTATAAATTCATCAAATGAGAGTAAATTGGTACGCATTTACTGAATATTATCGCTTCAGTGTTTCGTTTTTTTTTATGTTTGACATATTGCCATATGATACAATGAAGTTCTTAAGTCAAATATACTTAAAATATTTTCAAGGAGTAAGTGCATTTGCGTTAAAAAGACATCCAAACAATTCAATAATTATGTTTCCGAAACAACAAAAACAACAACAGCAACGAACAAGAAGAAGCAAAACAGAAAGAGCACGAATAAACGACCGAAAGAATGAAAGAAACGAAAGAAGAAGAAGAAAAAAACAAGGGAAAAGAAACGAAAGAGTTATTAAATGGAGTAGAATATATCACCAACCGACTACGATACGAGTGTTTCATCAACATACACACATACACCGAACAACACCAAATTGGTTGAGTGAAAAACGAACAAGCTAAATTGAAGATAAAGGCAAAAACAACAATTCATTTTTCCCTGTAACTCCCCTTGAACGAGTAGCGAGAAAAAAAAAACTACGGTTTGTGTACACAGAAAATTGCCCGTCTCTTTTTTTCTAATATGTGTGCTGTGCATGGAATGTGATCACATTCGCATTTGCTCGATGTTTGTCATAGGAAATGAACAGGCCAGAAAGTATGCATATACATGTGTTGGTGTGTGTGACAGAGGGAGAGAGAATGCGCGCGCGCACACACATTGTGCGTGTAGCTCAATCCTCATTCTTGCTCCTATTCAAACAATTCAATAGGTTTTGTGCTACGTTTGAAAAAAAAAAATGCTGTACATTTGCCATGCACATACAAAGTAAAACTATGCACATTTCTGTATCATTGTAAACAAATGGTGAATCGAGTGTGGAGCGAAAGAGAGAAAATCTAACGCTTGTTTAATTTTCCTCATGAAAAATATATTTAATAAGAAATAACACACCAAGGCGAAGGCGCAAAGAGCTAGAGATGGCAGAGAGCACACATACCACCAACAGAAGTGAAATGGTGACGACAACAACAATCACATTGTATCGCATTGCCTTCAATAACAGCAAACGCAACTGTAAGGCTTTTGGTATAATCAATAAGATGCAAAATATACACACGGTTCGGCAAAAGGAAAGCAACGACGGTTTAAAACTGCACACAAATATTCAGTTGAGAACAATGAAAACAAGAGTGAGAGCGAACAAGAGAGAGAGACGAAGACGGAGAACACACAGTTCATACAAATTCAACCAAGTTGGTTGGCGAACCAGGGAGAAGCTAAAAAAAAAGGAACGCCGAGAGAAAAATACAAAATCCATAAAATTTTATGAGTTATTTTTTTTTGTTGGTTCTTATTGCATGGCTTTGGCTTTCATCGTATTCAATTCTTGTTCCCGTTCTTTGCGATGGTTTTCGTTTTTCCTCTGTGTGTTTGCCAGTCAGTTCTCTCTCTCTCTCTCTCTCTCTCTCTCTCTCTCTCTCTCTTTACGCTCTTGTTCCATCGACAATTTTTTTTTTGTTCCTTTTTTACATTTTGTTCACATTTATAATGGGCATAAGTACACAGAACACATCAGAGACTGACGAGTATAGAGTGTGTATAGAGTCGCATACGCAATACTTCAGCCGAACACGCAGCACGGTATGTATCTATGTTCGGTGGATGCCAGCATTATTATAGTTTGGAGAGTGCGATGGCTGTTGTAATCAAGCGTAGCATAATACCATTTGCCATAACACATTTTGCCTTTGAATATTATATTTGAACGGTGTGCTGCACACACACACACATCCATACACGTTACACCGAACAACATAATATAAGCGATTTATACGCGAACATTTTCCGAGGTGCAGAATAAACACCAATAGAAAAGAAACAAAGAAGCGCAGAGAGGCAAACACCAAACACACAGTAGACCAAAACCAGAGTGAATAAAACAACACAGAGAAGAGAGCGATTAAAAAAATAGTAACAAGAGTAAAAGATTTAAAGTGGCAAAACGCAATACAAAATACAATAAACAAAGCAGATGAATGTAGAAGTGTGCATTTTATGAATAATATCAACATTAGGATAAATCTGAGCAATGATTGCATAAGCTCCTGCCGATTGTGACCACTATATGCCTGAGCGCATACCGTGCCGTAGTTTTCCATATTTCATAATCAATTGCAGCAGTGCTAAACTTTTCTACAAACAAACATTGCAATTCAAAGTCGAAACGTTGATTCAACATTCAGGGTGATATTTAAAGGACAACGGGAAAAGGACAACGGGAAAAAAGTAATCGTGTTAATTGTTCAATTGTTTATAATAAGACAATTTAATAATTGATTGAATAGATAAAGGCCAATGAGATAATCAGATTTTGAAAAACAATTAATTAAGAAGATTGTCGAGAAATCGATCGAAATCGGCAGACCGTAATCACCGATGCGACGATATTTTGATGTTGTTAAATGTTCAGTTTTATTTGACATAGAGAATCTCTTGATGTTGTATAGTTTATGCAACACATTTTAAAGGACTTGCGCCCGTTGTTGTTTTTTTAACGATTGGAAATTGTTATTTTGGTTGGCTTTTCATCGGTTCATTCAATCAGTTTCAGTTGGTCTCTCTTGATTTGCACGCAAACAAATAATAAATTTATAAGCGATGCTTATTACTACTTCATTGGCAAAAAAAAAAAGGGAGACAGAGGTCGAAAGAGAAAATGAACGGTGGAAACGAGCACCAAAAAAGAGGGTATAAAACGAACCGAACGAATGATAGGGTGGAGAATGTTCAAAATTTAATACATCCGTAAATAATTCGATGAAGTACTACGACGAGATGTTTATTGTGTACCAACTGCCTAGGCATGCCTCATCCAGTTTTTGGGCTCACACACTCATTCGGAATTCTCTCTTTCTCTATCTTTTCTCTCCCCATGTTCATGGAATTTTGCGTTTGACAATTGAATTCGAAGCAAAATATGGAAATATAAAAGGGTCCGTGTCGACTATACTATGCATATGTATAAATAGGCATACGACTGTTCAAAATACGGTTGCAATACAAAATTCCCTTTTTTGACAAATTACGACTCAGTTTTGGTGTGTGCGTGTGTGTGTGCATATGTGTATTTAGAGAAGAACAGACGCGGTAATCGCACCAACAGCAACAACAATGTCAACTGAATAAATATATACCGATATGTATGTATCACACATTAAACGTATAAAACCATTGAGAAATGAAGAGCTAAGTTCTTGCATTATGCCAAATAACGATGGCATGAGATCTGTGCTTTGCTTTCGAATTGCAAAAGGTAAGCGTTACATTAAAAATAAAAAAACAACAGTCGGCAATGACGAAGTAAATTTTGGCGTAGATTGACAAATTTCGGTATGCTGACCATATAGACCACCGCAATGAAGTACAAAGAATCGAAATGAGAACGACAAACCGTAACAGCGTACCGTGTATCGCATTCGAAAAAAAAAGGAAAGCCGCAAAATGTGTATTGCATTGAGTGAAATGTCGATTTACACACAAATATATGATGTGTGATGTAACGATGTTTTGTTGGTAAAAAAAAGGATTTCCCCGTATACTTTTATGCACACAGAAATGGAGTCAATGATATGAGGCGTAAAAGCATAGGGCGGAAAAAGACACACACGGAATAACACATATACTCTACATATATCAATATGTAGTCCGCGCAATGACACAAACATGGCTTTTTGATTGCCACTCAATGAACCAACAACGATGAATTATTAAACATTACTTAAAAGCAGTCATCTAATGAATCAATTAAAAGCATATGCTATAGTATCGCAAACGATTGTCACATTTATTTCATATTAAATAAACGAGCGTGTATGCGTGAATAAGAGAGAGAGAGAAAAAAGAGTGTAAAAGAGCGATTGGATGCAGTAATTGTGATTATTAGCATTGATTGATTCGACAATCGATGCTTTATTCAAAAGTTATGCTGTAATTAGCCACATTGTTTTGCTTCTGGCATAACCGAAAATGTATGCAGAAATCGCACGCGATTTCATCGTGTGATTCTTGTTTTATTCTTCTTTTTTTTTCTCATTCCTCGGTGGTTTTTTGCTGTACACCTTTTTTGCTATCTCTTTTGACTTTGTTTGTTCTTTTATTTCATTTTGTAACTTATTTCATTCCTTTTATTGACGTTTCAATGCGTGTACTCGTTAAACACACTATAACGCCTGTATTGAATAATATGAGGCTACTGGAGAGCAACAGCAGCGATTACGGCGACTCCAGCACAGACACAAAATGAAGTAAAACAAATTCCGAAACGAGAATTTAATAATTAAAGCAACATCAAATAAACCATTGGATATGATTGTCGAACGAGTCAACAAAACGAGGGAAAATGGGAAGAAAATCAAGAAAAATTAAAATGTTGGGCTTTGGTATTAATAATGCATTCGCAGGCATGAAATGATTGTAAGACGTGTGTATTTGTTTCTCTCTTTCCCTCTTAATTTTTATTCGTTATACTTTTTTTTTACTCTTTAAGTGTTGTGCCTCTGTCTCTTCGTCGTGTAGTGTGGTGGTGTTGTTGTAGCCAGTTTTATATCATTTAGTCTTTTCTATCTTTCATTTTATATTCTTCCTGAAAATTTCATGTGGTAGCGTGTGCGAGCACGATATTTTTCTCTCTTTCAATTCAACGAAGGCGATGAAAAATGAACAAAAACGCTCAAAATGCTCGGAATGATGGCAGAATAAGAAGAAAAATAAACCGTCCAAAATAAGTGCCTCATAACATCGATTATGTAATAGAAAATAATTATTATCGAATTGAAATAGCGAACGAGAAATAAAAGACACAGATTCGAGAGCTGTCGAATGAACACG